CAGCCTTAGGTGAAACCTGCTATTTCTATGCCAACCATTCAGGTATAATCAGACAGAGCATCCAAATTCTAAGACAAACTAAGAGAAGGACAACAGGCCTCCCATAATTAATATGAAAACTTATTTAACTAGTCACCATAGCTAACATCCCTGGTTTCCGCTATAGCAGGGCCCCTACTGTTATTATTAATCAGAGTAACTTGTAAACCCATCCTAATTAATAGACTCCTAGCCTTCATCAGAGAGAGAGTCTAATCAGTAAAACTTAGGGTCTTAGCACAATTCTACTAGAGATTGTCTCCCCATGACGATTATGAATCAATGGTTTGATCCACTCACAAGAAAAGGGGGGAATGTTGTAGCTCACTGTCCTTAGAATCCAACTTGTCTTTGGGCTGCCCTAATTAACAACCTCAGAGACAGCAAGATGAACAATGGGGAATGTTATAGACGGCTTTTGCCCCATAAAAATTAACCAGAGTTTGACCTTCACTGGGAATTTGAAAAGCAACATCCTTCAGGAAAAGGGAGGACAGAAAGGGCCCCAAGGCCAGAGTGTCCTGCATGCTCTGTAAAGAAACTGATAGGGAGAAACTGAAGCTCCCTTTACCCCATAAAACTGTAACTGTTCAACATGTGTGTATTGCACCTGACTGACCGCTGATATCCGTCTCGAATTTGTTAGTTTTTAAAACTTAGATAATAGAATGAATAGCAGGATAGATGTGTGCTGACCCAGTTCACCCAGTTCCCTTTCGCCTCAGCTCCCTCCCACCTCCGTTCCCTCCTGCTTATCGCTAACTGCCTCCGCTTCTGTACAAGCAGCTTGCTTGCTCTGCTAAACTCTTGAGTGACCCCTGTCCTATATAAGCAGCCCTCCCCCTGAGCTCGGGGCTGCAGTTCTCCTCTGTGTAGGTTGGCTGCAGTCCCTGCGCAGGTAATAAAACATCCCCAAAAACTGAAAAATTGAGTCTGAGTGTGGTCCATCTCCTGGGTTACAACAGAAAGTTGAATGATTTGCTCATAACTTATGTTCCCCTGCAAGGAGTATATCCACTGCTTACACAGTTTTAGTTTTAAGATCTTTTAACTTCTTTTGCTCCATAGTGGGACTAATCTGAAGACCTGGTCAACAGAATTATGTGAAATGTATAAGTCTCTTTTGGTAGCAAGTGGCAAAAAAATCAATTCAAGTTTTGGACCCCTAACATTTGGAAATTTATTGGCTTATGGAACTGTGAAGGTGTACTTCACAGATGTACTTTTAGCTTCAAGCCTTAACTGAATACAAATAAGCTTATCAAGACTGTCTGTGGGCTCTGTCTTTCTCTGTATTAACTTTATTCTCAGAAAGTAATTTCCCTTTGAGTGCCAACAAATTAGCTACTGCTGGCTCCAGAATTATATCGTCCACATAGCTAGAGATCTCACAAAAGTCTCAGGGAGGGCTGAATGGTCAGGCTTGAGTCACCTGCATATTCCTGAACCAATCGCTGTGGTAGGAAGATTTGACACTGACTACAGGCTCATATGATAACCCTAAGGTTGTGAAGGAGAGGAGTGATGGAGTGGGTCCCCCACAATAAAGAAACTGTCTTTAAGAACATATAAAAGAGGGGAGAGTAGGAAAAGGATTGTGGGCAGGCATACGAAAATGACCACAGTCTACTACATTTCCTGAAAGAAATCGCTTGTGAGCACTCACCCCATAACCTATATCCTGCAGTGGTAATTTCCTTGGCCCATAGCTACTTAAATCAATGAGTATATCATATTCAAAAAGCTGGGAGAATGTTTCAACTTGGGAATTTGGTAAAAGAATTCCCCGGCTTGCCCAGCAGGTGTGGCTCAGTGGCTAAACCTCGACAACATGCCCAGGTTGTGGGCCTGATCCCCAGTAGGGGGCATGCAAGAGGCAGCCAGTCGATGTTTTTTCCCATCGATGTTTCTGTCTCTCTCTCTCTAAAGTCAATAGAGAAAGAAAAAAAAATTCCCAGGCTTCTTTGTTCCATAAATATATCACCTTGTTCTGTTAAATTAGCATTTGAATTTGGTTTTAAAATATGCCCAACAAGCCCTGGCCAGTTTGGCTTAGCAGTTGGAGCGCAGCCTGTGGACCAGAGAGTCCCGAGTTCAGTTCCCACTAGGGGCACTTACCGGGGAAAATAAAAAAAATGCCCAACAAAACACCATCAATTGATTTCTACAATAAAGAAAATGTTCAAGAGAGTTGGTCAGGAGTCAAACTCTTAGTGATTGTGCCATTAGAATCAAAATAGATTCTTTCTAAGAAATCTGTTTTATTCTCAGCAGGAGAAGTAGCTATTTACTACTCAGATTAACTTGCCTTAGATGATACTGGTTTCTGTTCTATTTTCATGTTGAAATTCTGTTCATTATTTACATTTAAAAAATTGTGACAGGATTTATAACTCAATTTACCTAGTCCCTTATATAATGTTTATTAGCTCAGGGTTAATGGTCATTCAGATCAGATTAAAAAGATAATTGGGTAAACTCTGTGGTGAACTTTGAGCTCGTTTAAAACCTTGCTACACAGTTCTAGATATTGAGTTGGCCAGCTATGCACAGGCAACCTTCACGTGGAGTCAATACATGGACTTTGTTTAAAGACTTGGTATGTGTTGGAGGCCATAGTTTTGTCCTGTAATGTAAGAAGATTGCTCACCTGCAGTCTTCCATTTAACCACAGCATCTCTAGGTGGACAGTATTTTTTTGCCAAAAGAACACACGAGAAGTGGAGGTAGAGAAGAGTTTGACGTACCTTCCTTCACCAAGAATCTACTTAAATAAGCCTCAGATTTTACAGGCTGTTGACAAAGCCATAATAGTGGACAACACCAAGACACGGACTAGGAGTATTTGAGAGTTTATTATTCATTCTTTCAATAAATAGTTTATTGAGTATCTACTATTGGCCAGGTTTATTATAATAAGCACTGATATTACATTGAGCATGAAAAAGTCCCTGACTTTTAAGACTTTCGGTGGGAAGACAAAAACAAGTAAACAAAAACAAGGTAAGGGACAGAGGAGCAGAACTTGCTACTTTAGCCATAGTGGTCAGTGAAGGCTTCTTTAATGCGGTAGCATTTAAGAAAAGATTGAATTAAGTGAGAAAGTTAGCTGAGCACTCAGGCAAAGAAAACAGCAGATTGCAAAAGCCCTGAGGTGGGAATGCAGTTAGTATTCAGTGAACAGCAAGGAAACCACTCCGACTGAGAGAATTACACAAAATGAGGTTGCAGAGGAAGCTGGGTGTCACGACATACAGAGTTTGTAAAATATGGTGTGGTTTGGGGTTGTATTCTAAATGACACAGTAAGCCATTGGGAAGTTTTGAGCAGGGAAGTAACATGGTCAAGGTACCTTTTGCAAGGATCACTGACAGCTAGGTGGAGAAGAGGCTGGAGAGCACTAGTCAGGATCCAATCACTCTGGTGATTTCAGGCAGAGGACATGTTAAGAGTAATAAATGTCTAAAGGAAGAATGGGGTGCTAGAGATCAGAAGCTGCCACAAATACCCCTGGCTGGAACCCATAAGAGCGACACCTGCCTGTGCCATTTGCAGGTGCTGTCACTGCCACCCTCTATTTCCTAGATGTGCAACCTTGACCAAGGAAGGGACGGCCAGAGTCTTGACTCCACGTCACTACAGAGATGGCTGACAACTGCCACACCATTGACTCCAGGAGCAAAAGCTACTCTCCCCTTCTTGCCTTCTTTCCTGCTCATGCCTCCCGCTGGTGGAACTTCACTGGAGGCCAGGTGGCACAGCGTTCAGCATGACACGGTAGAACTGAGAAATGACAGTCTCCACAGAACTGTGGAAGCAGGGAAACCAGTTGGATGCCAGCGCTACACCTAGTGCAGGTGACGATGATTATGATTTGGACCCGGGTAGAAGTGTTAGGATTCCATCTAGTTTTTGAGGATAGGGCCAAAGAGAAGAGTCGGGGATGATTCTGGGGACTTCGGCCTGAGCAAATGGGATGAAGGATGGTACCGTTTGTTGACACTAGGAACACTGGAGGAGGTGTGCATTGCATTTGTTTAGTGGATGAGGATACATCAAAGTTGTATTTGAAGTTAACTTCAAGATGCCTACTGTTAAGTTCAAACGTGGATGAATAAGGTGCAGTTGAACATGCGCCTTGGAGTTCAGAGGAAAGGGTGAGACCACCGGTGGAATTTAAAGCCTTCTCGAACGCCATCCTTGGGATTAGATAAGAGAGTGGCCGTGGGCAGAGACAGGTGCCAGGGCAGAGTGCTGAGGCACCGAACGTTCGAGGCGCGCAAGGGGAGCCGGTCTGGCCGGAGGAAACCCTGAGGACGGTCCGGCAGTTCCTCCGGAGGACAGCCAAACCTGTGCCAACGGCTGCGCACGGGTCTAAAATGAGGCTGACTGTGGCCTCACTGGGCTTGGCAGCTACAAAGCGGTGGGGACACCTCGGTGGGCGGGTTCCCTTCCTGGAGCTCTGCCTCACCGGGAGAAGGGAAGGAGCCAGAGGGTGGCGTGCGCCCCGGGTGAACTCCCCGGCTGGTGGCGCAACGTCCGTACCCAGCAGAGGGGGGCAGTCGGGCGGCACCCAGCGGCCAGCCCCCCGGGCAGTCTGCACTCCGCGCAGGGGCAGCAGGCGGAGGGGGCGCTGGGAGCATCGCCACGCTCGGGCTCCGGGCGGCGTCCACGCTCCACAGCCGCACGGGCCGCGCCCGGCCTCGGCCTCTGCCCACCGGCCACACGAAGATCCCCGCTTGAGCGCACCCCCACTCCCGGTTCCCTTCGGCTCCTCCCGGACTCCTCGTTTCCTGTTCGGGAGCGGCTCAAGAGACCCGGTCCCTCAGCAGGCCGCACCCCCAAATCCCATCCCGTGGTCTGGTCCGGGCACGGGGCGGGGCCGCCGGCGGGGTCACGCGACCCGCCCCGACCAATAGGCGCGCGGCTCGGGGCGTAGTCCAGTACAGCCCAGTGGCTCGTGAGCAGTCGGGCTCCGCGGACGGGACGCGAGGACGAGTTGATGTGAGTGGGTCACTGAAGCGCGGTTTGGGTCAGCCCTGCGGCCCACCGGCGGAGGGGCAGGAGAAGGGAAGCGGCACCTGGCCGCACACGCATCCGTCACGCCCCCGCCGCCACTGTGCCCCTTACTTTCCCTTTCTCCGTGGTACCAGGAAGGCCATGGAGCGCGAAGTCCAGCGGGTTCGCGATGCCTTCCGGTCCGGCCGGTCGCGACCTCTGAGGTTCCGGCTGCAGCAGCTGGAGGCCCTGCGCAGGATGGTGCAGGAGCGCGAAAAGGACATCCTGGCGGCCCTCTCCTCCGATTTGTGCAAGGTGCGCGCGTGGGCGAGGAGCTCTGCTTGGAGCGCGCTCCGCCTGAGCCGGTGCTTTTGTAGAAGGTCTGAGTGGTGGGAGATCGCATCCGTAAGGCCAGTGTAGAGCCAAATGGCTTTATTGCGTGCACCTAGGTGCAGGTGGACTGAGTCGCAAATTTCCAGCTCAGCATCCCAATCTCTTTGTCCTCTGGGTTTTATAGTTGCAAACTATAGAAACTAAAAAAAAAAAAAAACAGCCCACATTCTCTTGGCACCAGGCGATTGGTGTCAGGGCTGATAAAAGCTGTCTCAGAGGTAAGGAGTCTGCTCCAGCAGGGGTCTGGGCCATCATTAACCCCTTATCTTTATGTTTCCTCTGAGTGTCAGTCCCAGGTTTTCTAGAAAACAGCTAGGGTGTTTATGTGCAGGAATAACTGGTCAGAATGGAGTTTAATTTGTTCAAACATTATTAGCCCGTTCAATTTGTGATTATGCAAGGACTGTGGGAGAGTTTACCCTGGCTTTCCCCGATCTTTCCACCCCTGTTGTGCGTATTTGCAGACGCAGAAGTGCAAGTGTTTTCTGGCTTCTGTTTGTGAATTGCCTTTTATATTTTTGCCTGTTTTTCGTTTAATTTTTGGTCCTTTTCCTGTAGGGATTTTTTGTATATTTCTGGATTTCGGTAATTTGTCAGTGTAATATATTGCAGGTTTTTTTCTCTGAGTCTGTTTCTTGTCTTTTAACTTTGTTTACTGTTTCTTTTGTAGAAAGAGGGTTTGTTTGTTTTTTTTAATCCTCACCCGAGGACACTTCAATATTTTGTTCAAATAGAGTGGGAGGGGGAGAGAGAGAGAGAAACAACGACATGAAAGGGACACATCAAGTGGTTGCCACCCACACGACCCAACCAGGGCTGGGGACAAACTGCAACCAAGGTACGTGCTCTTAGCGGGACCCGAACCTGGGTCTCTCCTGACCGTAGGCCGACGCTCTAACCACTGAGCAAAACTGGCCAGGGTAGGAAGAGGTTTTTTTGGTTGTCGTTGCACTTTAATTTTCCTCCATGACTTGGCTTTAGATCAGTGCTTCTCAAACTCGAGTGCAAGGGCGAATCCCATAGGGATCTTGTTAAAATGCAAGTTATGGTTCACAGGTCTGGGAGGGGAGAGATTCTAAGTTTCTAACAAGCTCCCAGGTGGTGCCTTCTACCTATTTTGGAACCAGGGTTTGAGTAGTGTTTAGGGCATGAATATATTCCCCTATATTTTCTAATAATATTATCATTTTGCTTTTACTTTATATCTTTATTCCAGGAGTAACAAGACTATGCTCTGGCTGTATGAGTCTCCCTCTCCCTTCCTCACTTCCCGTGAAAGATTATTTTGAAGGACAGTAATATCAGTAGTAATAGTGTTAAGAGTAACTGTTAAAACTATTAAAACTGTTAAAACTTCCTTTAGTGTACTTTAGGTGGAGAGGGACTGTGATATCAAATAAACAAGATGGGATAATTAAGATTTCAAAAAGTCTAGATCATTTATTCCACAAGCATGAAATGTTTGTGTGAATATGTACATATATAGGATTACTAAAATGCAATAAGTCCCTTGCCCTTGAGAGTTTTAAATTTGGTTGGGAAACAAAACATACACAAATAAAATATGAATGTAGTTATAAACTGTTGTATTAAGGGTGAAATATTGAGATACAGGTCAAAAGCATAATTGCTGTGGTTTATAAAGTGTGATCTAAGCAAGCCATTATTAATCAGTGATGTCATCCTGACAGGTAATGTTTAATTTTAAATGGCGTGGATCGGTAAAGAAAGATTTACAGGGATTGAGTACATTAGAGAGGGAGTCTGTAAGTCTTTCTTGAGAGCTTGGAGGGTGCCAAAGGAATCTGAATGGCAAACCTGCTAGCCTGATAATGCCAGTTTTCACTGCAGGTGTACCTGGCCTGACGTTTTTGACATTCAGGGCTGAATGTCATACTTATGCAAGGTTTACTGTGATTCTCTTAACAGAGTGAACTTAATGCTTACAGTCAGGAAGTCATTACTGTTCTTGGGGAAATTGATCTAATGCTGGAGAAGCTTCCTGAATGGGTTACTGCTAAACCAGCCAAGAAGAACCTGCTAACCATGCTGGATGAGGCCTTTGTTCAACCAGAGCCCCTGGGAGTTGTACTGATTATAGGAGCTTGGAACTACCCCTTTGTTCTCAACATTCAGCCACTGATAGGAGCCATTGCTGCAGGTCTGATGTCTTTATACTCTTTTAAGGGTCTTAGTCTCTCATTGATTATAAATTAAGGATGGTGGCTAATTAAATACATTTGCTTTGATGGTATGCCTTGGTTTACACTAGCAGTGTATTGAGAATTTACAAATATTATATATTTTTAAAAATAGACTCCTGAGGAGATTTGCATAGTAACTATTTTATATAGCTCCCAGGAAATGAACCTGTGAAGGTGTAAAGGCATGATGAATAGGCTCAGGAATTTGGAGTCTGGTATCTGTATTCTAATGTGGTTTCAGTTGCCAGCTCTGGCCTTGGGTGTATCATTTTTTCATTCATGTGAGGGCTATGGGAGTAATACTGGCTTGGGTTTATAGTAAATGCCAAGAGATTAATGTCTCACTCACTTCTGCAGGATCCAGAGCAACAGCTTTATGTTGACAAGACCTGTTTTTCAATAGTTCCAAGGCAGAGAGGAAAATCCAGGATTGGGAGTGGGAGAAAAGTGATGGAAAGATGGAGGAGTAGGGGAGGCTGATGGAGCCTGTTGTCAGCAATCTGAAGATAATGAGAACTAAGAAGTTAGCATTTGAGAAAGAGAAAGTGAGACGAGCTCTCACGCTCATTATGAGAAAGCAGAATTAAGAGCAGCAGAAATATGTGTAGTATTTGGCCTGTAGTTCCTACCTGAACACCATTTTGGTAGCTATTAAAAAGTTTATCAAGTATTAGACAATGCCGTCCTTCTTTTTGCTTTGTTTAGGAAATGCTGTGATTATCAAGCCTTCTGAACTAAGTGAAAATACAGCCAATATCTTGGCTAAGCTCCTCCCCCAATATTTAGACCGGGTAAGAATGTCTTGACCATCTTCAAAACATCTGTTTGCTGTGGGGGAACACACATTTGGCCTCTCTACTGGTACATGGCGTTGATGGCTGGGGGTCCGTTTGCAGTTTCTTTAAACCTCGAACAGTTGAATTTGAACAGCTGGTCAAATCCAAGCACTTGCTGTCTTCTCTTTTGTGTCTTTGTTGCTGAGCTCATGTGGAAAACACTGGGCTGTCCAGTCAGTTCCTCAGTGGGATGGTGGCTCTCAGATTTCACCAGACTCTGTTCTTTGCCTGTTTTCCATCTGCTCCTTCTGTACACACAGGGCTGTTTTTCATCTTCACATGGTTTTATTGAATGTTACATGTTTATGTTGAAGAACCTGCTCATGTTAGTTGGTCAGATTAATTTGGCAGTGCAAGTGTTTCTGTTTTTCCTTCTTTAAGGACCTGTATGTTGTTGTTAACGGGGGTGTTCCGGAAACCACGGAGCTCCTGAAGCAGCGGTTTGACTACATCTTCTATACTGGAAACCCTGCAGTTGGAAGAATTATCATGGAGGCTGCTGCCAAGCACCTGACTCCTGTGACCCTTGAACTGGGAGGCAAGAGTCCATGCTACATTGACAAAGATTGTGACCTGGACATCGCCTGCAGGTGAGGCTGGCTCTGGTCACGTAGGGTTTTCCCAGTGTTGTGGAGGCTTTTCCTAGTAAGTTGATGCATCCTCTTTGCACTGGAACCCTACGCCTTTTGGCCCCAAGAGACATCAGTAAGCTTTAGTGGTTGATGTCCTTGTGAGAAACAGCTCTTTCCAAACTGTCCCTTTGTGCCACTGCCAGAGAGGTGAGCAGTAGGTCATAAGTCCCATGATCCTCCTTAGGAGTATGGAAAGGTTCTTTCTGCCCTTGAGATGGTAGATCTACGATAAATTTTACTGTTCTGCTGGTCGATGATCCAGGACATAGGTAATCCACAGTATTGTGTGTGCCTAATAAAATCTTTAAATTCCCCACAGAAAGGGTATCAAGTTGATTTCTTACTGAGTTCCTTTGTTGTTAAAACCAGTATTATCTTTTAACTTAGATTAGCATCTCGCAAACTGGGAACTAGAAAACAAAAGGTTTCAGGTTCTCCCTGCTAAATCAGATTTAGCTGTCAGGAAGTCCCAAAACCCAGAAGTGACTGTGTGCTCAGAGTGGGGTGGTCTCTCTCTCCTTCAGAGATGGGAGGCATGGAGGAGGTATCGAGGGTTAGGCTGGGGTCTGGGCCAGCTTCGGAAGTGGAAGTCTGCTTTCAGAATATGGGATCCTCAGTCAGTGCGTGTTCATGTCACGGACTTAGATCCCACACGGCACAGTTTTCCAGAGTGGGGAGGGCTGCTCTGCCTACCTGGACATATTGCCAGCAGGACCTAAAGTCGCAACCAGGAGAGGCGGAGTCTGTGGAACTCCTGTCCTCCCTGATGTCCTCTGGCTGGAGTGGGAGCAGGAAGAGGGTGTCGGGAGGCTATGCCTCTCTTCCTGTAGCAGGCAGTGGTTTCCCTGCTTATCAAGCACTATTTTCCCATGGACTGGCATGAGAATGTCTCCCCCGTCGAGTGCTTCACATCAGTCAGAAAACGCGTTATAAGTTCCACCCAGCTGATTTAGAAACGAGTTCTTAAATGTTTTTGTTTTTATAAAAATTGCCAAGCAGGTGTATGAATAAATGCTAGTTCAGAATGTTCAAACAATAGAAAAGTAGGTAACAAATAACTAGTAGATTTAATTCCATTGCTATCTGGGGTTTTCCCCCTTCAGACGCATAGCCTGGGGGAAGTACATGAATTGCGGTCAAACCTGTATTGCTCCCGACTACATTCTCTGTGAGTCGTCTCTCCAGAATCAGATCGTGCAGAAGATTAAGGACACTGTGAAGGTTTGTATTTAACACACCTGGCTCCGTTGGTTTCATTAAGATGAGTCAGATCAACTGTTTGCAGGCAACACCCTTTTATCCTCCCTTCCCCAGAAAGTTCCAATAGTTTATGTGACTAAATTAACTCACTGGATAATTTAAAATGCTCTCTGCCCGTTTTCTAGAAGGTCTGCTGCGATGCAGAATTGGGTTGGTGTTAAGCCCACTTAAATTCTCTCGTTGATTTGTTGATGAAACAACTGGTTAGTTGTGGCACATGCTTTAAAACAGATTTTCAACCTTTTTCATCTCATGGCACACGTAAACTAATTACTAAAATTCAGCCCTGGCAGGTTTGGCTCAGCGGTTAGAGTGTCGGCCCGTGGACCAAAGAGTTGTGGGTTCGATTCCAGTCAAGGGCACGTACCTCGGTTGTGGTTCGCCCCGGCCCTAGTTGGGGTCGTACGGGAGATGACCATTTGCTGTGTCCCTCTCACATGGATGTTTCTTTCTCGCATGCTCACACACTGTACCCGAAGATAAATGGAAAAATATCCTCGGGTGAGGATTTACAAAAATAAAAAAGAGAGAAGAATTGACCAGACTCAGAGATTGTGGTACGGCAAAGAGGAGGTTAAAAATCCCTGTGAGACTATAACCTCTTGAGGTTTGGAGAATATGCTTAGTTGAGAATGGTGATAAACTCAGTTTCAAAGGAATAAGAACCCCTCAGCCTTTCTTTGGGGCGTTTATACTCTGAACACAGTAGTTCTCACTGAAGTCACTAGAGAGCCATGAAGAAAAGTTCCCAGTCCTCACCCTCCAGGCCGATTTCATTGGGGTGGGGTCTGCAGGTGATTCTAAGGTGCAGCCAGCATTGAAAACCATGGTTAATGGCACCAGAGTTTGGGCCCAGGAACGTGCATTTCAACAAGCTGCTTGGATGATTCTTTGTTGTTCGGGGGTTTTGTTTGTTTGTTTGTTGGCTTGATCTTGAGAGTACATTTATTAAAACTGGGGACAGTGAAACAAGGAAGGGCTTAGGACAGAAGAAGCAACAAGAGAGCCTGGGCAGGGCTGCTTTGGCTCTCTGGGAAGTCAGAGAGAGGGGCCTTGGAGACAGGTTCAGGGGTAAGCTGCCCAGTGCTTCCTGGTTACAAGTCCGGTGGGGAGCCTTAGGGCTTAGGAGATGCAGGCCTCAGAGGGAAGAGAGGGGTGGATGATCCCGACCACCAGACTCGAGCTGTTTGTGGAGGTGGGTGAACAGTGCCCATTTTGATTGACGAGCAAGTCTAGAGCTTTTATAAGGCCTTGAAGTGATACAGCAATTCAGTAATGTTATGTGTGTTTCGCATAATAAATATAGATTATTTGGCCTTCGTGGTTCTTTTACCTTGTTTAATTTACAAAAAAATGTATTTTGATCTTCTGAGTGGTTTCCCTGTCATCTATGATGGGTAGAAATACCAGTCTAGAGAAGATACAAAACAATGAAATAGTGCAAAGCTCAGCCAACTTCCTGTAAAGGGCTAGAGAGAGTGCATCAGGCTTTGCAGGCCATAGGTCACTGTTCACCCACACAGCACCTCGCAGGACAGCAGCCACAGCGGACAGGTAAACACAGTGGCCCTGAAATAGGGCAAGACCCCCTACATCTCCTCCCCCATTCACCCCCAGGAGGGCCCACAGGTAGACTGCAAGAGATCCAGGTGAACCCCTGAAACCATGGAAAGTGATAATCATGTGCTTAATTCTTGACATGCCCAAAGGCTTGAGTTTACTGCTATACAGACTCTCCTTGACTTGCAGTGGGGTTGCATCCTGATAAACTCATTTTAAGTTGAAAATACAAATCAAAATTCACTTAGTACACCTAACCTACTGAATGTCTAGCTGGTTTAGTCTACCTTGACGTGCTCAGAACACAGGCATTAGCCTACATTTTGGCAAAGTCATCTTGCTGCTGCTGCCCAGCCTGAGACAGCATCCGCTGGCCCGGGCAAAGACCGGGCTTCGGAGCGCGCTTTCTACCGAATGTGTATTGCGTCCCTACCATCGTAACATCAAAAACCTAAAGTTGAACCCGTAACTGGGGAGCCGTCTGTACTGTTAAGGTTCTTGGTGGGGTGGGCTGTGATGCTAGAAAACCAGACTTCTGAGCATGAGTGGGTTTTGTACTTATTAAAGAAATCGAAATGTGGGTCTTCTATGACAATTGAACACTATTGTTTTAAATAGGAATTTTATGGAGAAAATATAAAAGAATCTCCTGATTATGAAAGGATCATCAATCTTCGTCATTTTAAGAGGGTACTAAGTTTGCTTGAAGGACAGAAGATAGCTTTTGGAGGGGAGACTGATGAAGCCACCCGCTACATAGGTAATGGGAACCCCCCTTTTCTTATGGAGAAAGGGGAGTTTGACAGTACTTATTGATACTATTTATTGATACTAAATAGATATTTAGTGTAAAATACATTATCAAATACTGCTTTCTGGTATACTGTTTTGTAAACTATTTAAAGATGATCATATACGCACACACACACGTTTAATAATACTACCTGTGTTGCACTAGTTTTTTGTATTTACACATATTTTATCTACATTTTTCTTCCTGACCACCCTGAGAGGCAGAGGCAGAACAGACCTCCGTAATTACCCAGTTATGGCTGGGAAACGGCTCCGAGGACATAGCTTAGCCGTAATTCCACAACTAGCTCCGGCAGTGCTGTTTTGATCTATCATGCTTGACATTATTTGTTTACTTTTTGTGTTTTTTGTTCTTTGACATAAATCTATATTAGTTTTGAATTTTAAACACATTTTTCCAAAGTAGCATACACGATAACAGAAGAATTACACATTTAATTGGCAAAAGCTTAAAGAACTTAATAAGATAATAAGTACCTCTGGCCTGTGAATTCACTGGCTCAGTAATACCCTCCAAAAGCTCCAGTTGTTTCGTCTTCTTGCCCTGCTATCCTCAGCATGTTGACTCCTCCCACTTCTAGGCTAATCAGGGGTGAGCGGAAAGGTCATCCCTGAGCAGCTCAGACTGGTGAGGAACTTCTCTCTGTCCTGGAGTCAGGGTCACCTTATCCGAGCACATGGCTGTGCAGAGGAGGACACCTAAACCAAGTCAGTTCTCCGACCCAGGGAAACGGTGGGCAGTGGGTTTAGGGTGTAGCATATGTACCTCTGGGGGTGCTGGCAAGAACCGTCCACCACGCTGCAGCAGAACCCAGCTGGAAACCAGGAGAAAAGGAGAAGCGCAGACTTGTTATCGGCAGGTGTCTTCCTTTTAGTTGGCGGTCGAGCTTGTGCACGGGGTATTTCTGGGTGCTGCCTGGTGCCTGTCTCGGCATGAATGCTGGGATGCTCTGCGAAGCTGCTTCAGCGTCTGTATTGCCCTCCCATAGTGGATGGAACACTGAACTAAGGGTTAGGGAATCTTGACCATTTAAATATGTTTTCTTAATCTGTAACAGAACACAAATAAAGGTCAATGAAATACTATGCAAGAAAGCAGTTGAATTAAGAAGTGTTGCTTTGATACACAGAGGGGCTATCTGTGCTCCCTGAAAGATGTAAACATAACCTCCTGTTACGAATATGGCTATGAACAGGGTTTCACATACATACGATATATCCAGGCATATATCTTTCCCTTGGTTTGCATGAGGATCCTGCTTCATGTGCTTGCAGACATTTAATTCGCACAGTTTGTCCACAGACTTGGGACTTATTTTTTTTAATGGGTAATACTTGGATGGGAATAGGAAAGGGATGGATAGGTGACCTGATGAAAAAATCTAACATGAGAGTTTTGCATTTCTGTCTTTTATAGCATTTTCATTTTGCTTTTTCCTTTTTAGCCCCAACAATACTTACTGATGTTAATCCTGATACCAAAGTGATGCAAGAAGAAATTTTTGGACCAGTTCTTCCAATAGTGCCTGTGAAGAATGCAGATGAAGCCATAGAATTCATAAATGCTCGTGAAAAGCCCTTGGCTATCTATCTGTTTTCTCATAACAGTAAGGTAACTTTACAGAGAAGAGCACACTGTAATAAGCCACTATTGTAAATCGTGTTCCCTCTTTGTGGTAAAGCAAACGATGGTTTATTTTGTGTGATACCAGAATCCACCAACCAAGGCTCTTCTCCTAGATTGCTGTCTTGGGCAGTCAGCCTTGGGGCTATCGCGATAACCTTTACTCCTTGGGTCTCCAGGGGTGAGTGGCACCAGTTTCTTTGACTCGAATACTGCCCACATAGTAGACTCAATGTGCCAGCTTTAGAAGCTTTTCTGACATTAATCCACTGGACACTCTGTGTAAGAGCCTTCCCCCATGACACAGGTGGCATTCCCAGCCCCTCGGGACTGTGTGGGCAGAAATCTCTGGCACTGTCGGGGAAGTGGTTGTGATATCTTCAGTTTCTCCAGCTACATGATTTTGCTGTTAGGGTGGTAGAACCATACCAGGCAGGTGAACGTTTTACCATGTGACACAGCATGAAGAGCCTGGCCACTTTATTTACTTGCATCAGAAGATGACTGAAATCTGTCCAGTGTGGCTCAGTGGTTGAACGTCGACCCTGCACCAAGAGGTCACCGGTTCGATTCCCAGTCAGGGCACATGCCCAGGTTGTGGGCCCGGTCCCCAGTAGGGGGCATGCAGGAGGTGGCCAGTTGATGTTCTCTCTCATCGATGTTTCTATTTCTCTCTCCCTCTTACTTCCTCTCTCTCTCAAATTATTAAAATAGGGAGGAAAAAAAATTTTAAAAAAAGGTGACTGGCTGCTGCTAAGGGACAGTGGCCTCAGGAAGGTCAAGTAGGTTCAAGAGCCCCCTGAAGAAAAGCAGACACAAAAAGGGGAAGATGGCAGTGGAGGTCTGAGCACTCAGACTGCATGTGTTCTGGAGAGCTCAGGGCCGCGCACGGGCTGTGTGGTGGCGGCGTCAGCGTGGTGAGGCCATTGAGATGCAGGTCTGAACAGAACGTTCAGGGAGCCAGGTGTGTGGGCTCTTAACAAGCAAAAGTCTACGCTTTGTTTTGATTTTAATCTTCACCTGAGGACATTTTTCCATTTTTTTGTTCAGATAGAGTGGGAGGGAGAGAGGAGAGAGAGAGAGAGAGAGAGAGAGAGATGCGAAAGGGACACATCAAGTGGTTGCCACCTGCAATACCCAACCAGGGCCGGGGACAAACTGCAACTGAGGCACATGCCCTTAGCGGGAACTGAACCCAAGTCTGTCCGGACCACAGGCCGACGCCCTAACCGCTGAGCCGAACTGGCCAGGGCCAGAGGTCTACATTTTAAATGACCATGGACAACGTGGTGATGGGACCCTGAAAGCTCAAGTCCACTGGCAGGGTGCGCTCGGGGGAGCGCTTCCCACCGGCTGCTGGGTGACCGTGTGTGGCCACAGTCCCCTCGACGTTTGCTGTGAAGAACTCTCAAGGGCTTGTTGGCACCCAGGTGAAAGGACGTTGACCAGTCCAGCGTCATTTTTCCTGTTCAGATCTTAGGACAACTGTTTCTTCAAAAATTGGATGCTAAACCTTAAATATTTATTGCATTTCATAAAAACTAAATGATATCTATAAATCATATTCTATAATTTAAAGCAGAGCTAGAGAAATATTTTAAAAATTTTAAACAATATATAGTCTGAACTGTCCCTTTTTTTAAAAAAGGCTTTTTGCTGCCATTTTGGGTGGTCCGACTCTAATAGGGGTGATGTGGTGCTGCCACCCTCGAAGTACTAGGTGTGCGTCAGAGAGGTTAGACAGGGATCACATTTGATGTCTGTCCTGTCTGGGGATCTGCCTTTCCTTGAATTGTGTCATGATTTGAGAAGAGCAAGGGACCCATTGTTCTGAAAGATGGGCTGAAAGGAACTCACTCCTGGTAGAGCTCTGTGGACACTAGGTGTTCATTTGTTTGGCACGGTGTCCCCGAGCTCGAGTAGCTGTGCCCGAATGTGAAGGCAGAGTGCATCAGAGCACAGCCGCCTGGGCGCTCCTGACCGGGAGCCTTGGTTCTGCTCCTCAGCTCATTCGACGGATGATCGACAGCACATCCAGCGGCGGTGTCACGGCCAACGACGTGATCATGCACTTCACGCTCAGCTCTTTGCCCTTCGGCGGAGTGGGTGAGTCTTCCCCTTGTTCACAGCGCACGTTCAGAGTGGCGCAGGAATCGCTGCGGCTGCTCTCTGCTTGGTCCTCCTCCTGAGGGGCCGTCCCCGGCCGCCATGGGAGTCCTCTTGCTACCTGCCAGGTCCTCTGCTGAGGGGCCCTCTCTCCGTCTCCCGCCTTTCGTCCTCAGTAGCGTTTACCACAGTCTCTAATTATTTTGTTTCTTTCGTTGTGTCACTTGTTTGTTGTTCTCCCACATTTAGGGGATTTTTTGTAGGCCAACAGTCAGGTCTAGGTCCCTGTGTCTTTGGTTTAAGGGAGGTGGTTAGACAGGCTTAGACGGCCAGGAGCAGACAGCAGTGCAGGGGTTTCTCGGTCCCTATGCCGTGTGCCCTGGCAGCCTGAGCGGCGCTCACCATGCTGCGCCCAGCCCTTGGCCCAGGGCCAGCCTCTCCTCACAGTGTCTCCTGCTTTGAGAAGAATGGGAGGCTCCCCTAGAGGACAGCAGAACAGACTCCTCTCGGTGAAGCCCTGTGGACTCGGCCTGCTGCTCCCTGTGGGCTGGGCTTACCCGCTCTCTCACCCCTGGGATGATTGACTCAACTCTTTACATTTTCCTTTGGGATCTAGCTGTAGGCTTCTCTATGATCTGTTAGAGATATTACAGATTAACAAATGTGTTAATAGCAAAAAGCTATTAAGTTCTCATAGCAAAAAGCAAACACTAAAAGGCAGTCTTAAAAGCTCCTGCTGAGTTCCCTCCCCTGCAGTAGTATAAACAGCCTACTCCATGGGAGTGCAACGGCCCAGGTTAAGGCACGCTCGTCCCAAGAAACCCTGGCCTGTTTTCCACAATAGCCACAGGTCCCTTTCTAGGATGTACGTGTATTGCCAGCACCCAACACAGTGACTGACATGTATGAGGGGAAGGTGGGGCCAGCCTGGGTCAGGGGATGTTGCAGGAGCCACACTGGCACTGGGGGAGGCCGGGACTGGGATGGTGGCAGGGCAGCTGGTGGAAGGGAGTGGATATTTTGGGAGGTTGAGCAACATGATTTGCTGATGTGTTTGGGTGTGGAGAGGCGGTGAATGAAAGGAGGATGGTTAGTGAGATTTGGGCTGGAGTTACTACGGTTTCACTGCCCAGAGTCTTAGGGTTAGACTGGACTCTGCTGTGTCTGGTCCTCGGCGCTCCACAGGGTCTTGGCTTCCACCTGCAGGTGCAGCCTCAGACTCGCACTGCGCCACGAGGTCACACGTGCCAGCAGCGTGCAGCTCCAGTGACTGAGTTCAGTCCGTCTGACTAGGTAGCCTTTCGCACAGTTGACCATACCCTCTTCTTTGTAACAAAAAAACTTCCCCCCCAAATGCAAAAGAAATTCAGGCTTATTAAGAAAACTTGGAAAAGATAGAAGAGCCCAAGGAAAACAATTTAATTACCCATAACCCCACTACTTAAAGATAACCTTTGGTGTATATCTTTAAAATTCGTTTCAAAATGCATATCTTTTATACATGTTGCCAAATTTCCCTACAGTTTGAGCTGTCATCTAAATGATGGGCCACGCCCTGGCCAGTTTGGCTCAGCGGTTGGAGCATCAGCCGGCAGACCGGAGAGTTCCGGGTTCGGTTTCCGCTAAGGGCACGGACCTCAGTTGCAGTTTGTCCCTGGCCCCGGTTGGGGTCGTGTGGGTGGCAGCCAGTCGATGTGTCTTTCTCACATTGATGTTTCTCTCTCTCTCTTACCCCCTCTCTCCCTCCTGCTCTATCTGAAGATAAATGCAAAAATGTCCTCAGGTGAGGATCAAAAAAAGTAAATGATGGGCCAGGACACTGCTTCCGGGGCCCGGTTGCTGTGCCTGATGCACGGCACCACGCACGTCTGTCCAGCACACGTCGATGCGGGAGTGAGCGCTGGCACAGCACAGCGTTGTGAGAGGGCAGAGATTCACACTCGCCTGTTACCCCCCAGCTCTGTCGCCCCATCGTCCTGGTCTGTGTTCCTTGCTAGGAGCTTAGAGGAAGCAAGTGGGCAGGCAGGGCTGTGGGTGAATGGAGCCACGTGGCTGGTGGGAAGCATGCACAGCACTAGAACCAGACCAGCGCGGGCTCCCGGGCTAGCTGTGCATTCCCCTCAGACAGCCACCGGACCCTGCTGAGCTCCTCTTCCTCTCTGAAACTGGGGCGGCGTGATGCCTCGCGCTGAGGGGTGGTGGTGGGGGTGGAAGAGGATGCGAGGCACCGGGGGGAGCCCTGCCGTGGAGAGCTGCGGACCTGGCCCGCTCTTGGAAAGCATCCTGTCTTAGGGGGGTTCCCCTGCTGGGAGCCCTGGGAAGAATGTCCTGAAAAGAGCCACGTGGTCTGGCCTGGAGGTTGAAGGGGCGTTCGGGGTGTCCGAGGCGGCAGGGAGACTGTTCCTCTGTCGTTGGAGAGGAAGCTGGTGTCACCTACAGGAACCTGTTTTTGTCTGTTCCCTGTATTTCAGGTTCGAGTGGGATGGGAGCTTATCATGGACAACATAGTTTCGACACTTTTTCTCATCAACGTGCCTGTTTATTAAAAAGTTTTAAGGGAGAAGCTGCTAACAAAGTCAGATATCCTCCCAACAGCCAGTCAAAGGTGGATTGGGCAAAATTTTTCCTCTTGAAACGGTTCAGCAAAGGAAAACTCAGTCTCCTGTTCCTCGCGTTCCTGGGCATTGTGGCTGCTGTGCTTGTCAAGGTGAGTGCCGTGAGTCCCGGGCGCTGCTCTCTGCTCCTGCCTGCCCGGCGGCCAGCTGCGCTTCCTTCGTCTTGGGAGCTCCTCTGACTTTTGTTTATGAACTCTGTCTCATATTAGGACAGCCTGCCGGCCAGCCACCTTTCAGAAAGGTCTCGGGCGCAGTCACCCCTTGCTTAGCTGGCGCCTCGGCGGCTGAGTGCTTGTAGCTCCGGCCTGTCAGAACTGCCTCACAGGACTCGGCTGCCCACCGCTGATCCTCTGCCCTCGGTGCCTCGGCCTCAGCTCTGTCCTTGGCCGCGCCTGACAGCAGCACGCCGCGTGGTGGAGGGAGTGCTGAGGTGACGATAGTGGTGGACTGTCTTGGTGGTGGAGTAGCTTCGGTGAGGGCAGTCTGAGTGCTTTTCCTCCTGATTGGACCACCATGTAAAGTTTCTCTTGGGTGACTGGTTATTACAGATACAGGCTTACTAAGAGGCCCCCTGCCAGCTGGCTTCACCAGGCAGTTTGTGTGTCCTTGGGGTGAAAGAGAAACCCCAGGCGATGAGCGGTAAGGTGGACTGAGGACAGGCAGTGTGCAGCTCCCAGCATCCGTCCGAGGAGATGCACTGGAAATACTGACGTCCATGAAGAATAGGCTTGGAGGGGAGGCAGGGTTCAAGCATGTGGTGGAAGGAGCTGTTTTATGCCTGTGTTGGTGGACCTGGAGATGCCAGTTGCATTTGAACCGTTTGGGTTTTCCCAGAAACACCAGGCTGTGCTGAGGAGGAGGGCGCTGGCCTCCTGGCAGTCCTGGAGGCAGTGGTGAGGCGGCTCAGCGCAGCTGTCTGTCAGAGCGAGGTAGGAGCTCCCTTTCTTCCGTCAAAGTGGGCCACGTTGGGGTATGTTTCTTTTAGTTGTTTGTTTTTCTACAGCTAGAGGCTTATGGGTTGTTGAAAAAAGAATATTTAGCCCTGGCCGGTTTGGCTCAGCGGTTAGAGCGTCGGCCTGCGGTCCAGAGAGACCCGGGTTCGGTTCCCGCTAAGGGCACGTACCTTGGTTGCAGTTTGTCCTTGGCCCTGGTTGGTCGTGCGGGTGGCAGCCACTCGATGTGTCCCTTTCACATGAGTGTTTCTCTCCCTTTCTTCCTCTCTCTCCCTCCCACTCTATCTGAACAAAAGATGGAAAAAATGTTCTCGGGTGAGGATAAAAAGAATATTTATTTGTCTTCAATTTGGACTTTGGCCCAGAGTATCAGTGTTAAAAACGTAACTTTCCCACAATTTTAAAAGGGTGAGGGTGGGTTGCTAGAACCTTGGAAAAGTAGTGGTGATGGCGTCCTGGGTTAGAGGACACATCCTGTCTACAAAGAGGGTGGCTGGTGCGCACCTCCGTCCTCTTCCGCCCTGGGGACGTGCCAGCCAACCCGTGTAGACCTGACTCCCGTTCAGACACCCAACTCTTTGTTTCATAATTTCAGAATCTCCTAAAAATCGGAGTCACTTTTTGTTGTGTTTTGAGTTGTTTTAGGTTTATTTTTCCCTAGTGTGACTTGAGAATCACTGGTAGCAAACTTAACGTGTGTGCCTAGGGGCTTTCTGTTCTTCACCGCTCTGAGGTCCAAGGCGTGCTCGGGGTTGCAGTCGCTGTCCATGTTTCCTCAGGATGGCGGTCCCCAGCCTGGTGTGCATCTTCTGCCTTGGGGTGGACTTTCTTAGCTTCGTGGCAGATTTGGAGGTCCAAGCTGACCATGTTCCCCAGAAGGCTGCCCCATCCAGACAGGCAGAGCAGGCCAGGCCTGCAGATTCCCCGGGGAGTGCGACAGGCACACCCTTCTCTGTTAGAGTCTAGAGAGCCGCTGTGTATGCAATGTTTAGCTGGGAACAAGAAAGTGTGGCTTTGATCCTTAGGCCTCAGCTTCTTCATCTATGGAATGAGGATGTGGACTCAGGGATTTCCTGGGGCCCTGGGGCTCCACCTCCCAGCCCCCGTCCCGGAGCTGATGTGTTGGTGCTCAGAGTGGTTTCAGTCCAGTGAGACTAAAGGCTTGGCTTTCCTTGCCTCCTGGCTGCTTCTCTGCTTTTCTCTCCAGCTTTTATCCATTTTTTTAAGATCGCCTTTTACATTAAATAAATGACTGAGCCTATATTGGTCATTTACTCAAATCTTTATTATCATTGTAAACATTTTCCTGAAATTGCTTTTCTGTACTAGTTACTTTATGTGTGGATGTGATTTTATTCACTTTGCTAGAATTAGAATAGATTTGAGACACTTTTTTTTTTTTATTCCTCACCTGAGGATATGTTTTCATTGATTTTAGAGAGAGCACAGGGAGAGAGAGAGAGGGGAACATCAATGTGAGAGGAAAAAATCAGTCCGTTTCTCACACACACATCCCTACCGGGGATCAAACCTGAAACCTGGGTATATGCCCTGACCAGGAAGCAAACCCACAACTTTCGGTGTACGTGACGGCGCCCCAACCACCGGAGCCCCCGGCCCGGCGGGTTTGAAGCGCTTCCCTGGGAGGGGGGAGCAGCGAGCGGTCAGTCCAAGGGGAGAGCAGGCCGGGTCTCGGAGTGGGCAGCAGTTTTCTATATGTGCACTGAAATATATGCATAAAATACTCAAAGTAAAGTTCCAATAAAACTTAAGGAGCTACAGAAAGCATAGTAGAAAGTATGGAAAGATTGAGAAAGAAAAAAGGTTAAAATTGATCAGTGCCATCAGGCCTTGACAAAATAAATACGGCGTTTGGACTTGGAGGTGTTGCGACAGCATTATCTCACCTCGGCAGGCAGGCGTTGACTCGGGGCTACTTTGGGATTTGGTAGTAGTTCTTCACATTGCTTTTTTTTTTTTTTTTTTTGGTACGTGCCCCTAGTGGGAACCGAACCCAGGACTCTCTGGTCCGCAGGCTGACGCTCCAACTGCTGAGCCAAACCGGCCAGGGCATTAACATTGATTCTTAAAGGGAGAGACAGAAACAGGGATTTGTTGATCTACTTACTTATGCATTCATTGGTTGGTTTCTCGTATGTGCCCTGACGGGATCACACCCACAGCCTTGTCGTATTGGCATGACACACTAACCAACCAAGTAACTGGCCATGGCGAAATTTTAGTAGTATCAAAACTGTTGATCAGATTTCATGGAGAGATTTCAGCTTCCTACTCACAATGTGAGGACAGCAAATGAGCACTTGCAGCTCCAGGCTCTATTCTAGTACTGTCCCATTGATATTGGACAGAATACCGCCTCTGTCACCATGTGTCTTGTTACTGCTGTTTTGGGGAGAGAGCAAAAATCTTTTTTCCTCAGTTCAACCAGCACTTATACTTCTTAGGGATACACATGCCTTTTTATATAATGCATTTAGAGTCCACACACTCAGCTCATGTTCCAGAGCAGGCAGGGCGGGTTTTTAGACCAGCAGAGTAACCTGGATCTCTTTCTCCTCTCTAGGCTGTATACTACTGAAGAACGGTCCTGTTCAGCCTCCTATTGCCTCTACTAAATTATTTCTTTATTACATAGCTAATGAACCAATAATTTTAACATCCTACCAAAAAATAGTAAAACATGCAGCACTATAATCAACCCTAAAGTCATTACCAAGCACCATTAATACAATTTGCCATTTCAGCCAAATTCCAACATTTCCCAAGTGAGGGTGCTCAGAGAACCTGTTCCAGACGGTGCTGCCCAGACCATAGAAGGAGAGTGTGTCCAGCTATGTGAAGGAGTCTCAGAACCTACTTGGTGACTTCCTCACTCCAGTGCATGGGACGTGGGTCACCTGCCCTGTCCCTGCTATTGCCTCCATCACTCTGGGAACTTTCAAGAGCTCAGTGCTGCCCAGGGTTGCCAGCAGCTCTCTGCAGTCCAGAGAGATGTGGCTAGATCTGCCAGGCTCCAGAACTGGGGGGGGCAGGGGAGAATCCCTGTCCCTCATTCATCCCTTGGGACTTGAGGACCTGACCTCCAGCAGTTGGCCCTCTTGTCAAACGTGCTGTGTGACCACTGGGTTTCCTCCTTTCTCGCCCATTCACCACTCTGCCTTGTGTTCAGTTTGTGGCAATTGCGTCCCTGTCCACAAGGCTGATTGTGACATTCCCAAAGCAGCTTGTAGCTCCTAGGACTTCCTGGAAGACAGTGCTAGTGTCCCACAGGTATCTGATGGTGTAGGAGTTGGAGAATTCTACATCTTATAAAACCTAACTGGCACTTTAATCTTCACCCAAGGATATTTTTCCATTGATTTTTTTAGATAGAATGTAAGAGAGGGAGGGAGAGGGAGAGAGAGAAACGTTGATGTGAGAGAGAGGCACGTCGACTGGTTGCTTCCTGAACGACCCCATCTGGGGCTGGTTATTGAACCTGCAACCCAGGATATGCCCTTGACGGGGAGTTGAACCTGTGACCCTTTTGTCCATGGGCTGACACTCTAACTGCTGAGCAAAACTGGTCAGGGCTGGCATTTTTAAATGTAGTTATAAAAGACTGTATTTATAACAATACTGGTCCTTTGCCAGGATCCTAAAATTGCAAGTTAGTGTATTTCCAAGGACAAATCTTTAAGTTTTTTATTTCTTTAGCACAAATGCAAGTTAATTTCACTTTTTTAAACCTCAGAGAATTCCCTTTTGGGATAAATTTAGCCTTCAGAACTTAACATGGGGAAACCATTTCCTGTCTGTCATGGACAAGAGGCCTTGGATATTCAGATGGATCATTTGGAGAAGTCTGCAGAAGGACTTGAAGCCATGGTGTTGGCCATGTTGAAGGGGATGAAGGACACAGAAGCTCAGAACATGGCCAAGACCTGAGGCACTTCGACCAGTGGACCAGCCTCCCTGCTGGGCCCTGCTGGGTGACCGGCAGCAGGAGCTCTGTCCCCTTTCTCTGTTTGAAGACAGACTCCGCCCACTCAGTGAGAGAATGTAATTCACTTTATAGAATGTATGATCCGCTTTGTTGAATGAGTTTGTTCCATGAAGGCTGTCTGAAGTATGTTATGTCTTAATCACAGGGTGAGGTGTCAAAAATTAATCACTATACTGGTTTAGGAAAAAGCTGCATAAACTGTATAACTATCAGAATAATCAGTCATAATTTCAATATGCCATTTGGTATATTGTACATTATAATTTCTAGTTAAACTAAATCATTGTCTACTAGTATATTCTGCTTCGAAATAAAGACATTGTATGTTATGAAGTTGGATGATTTCAGTACCATTCTCCGCCGAGCATCGGGCTGGGTCTCTGGGAGCGGCCCCTTGGCCACAGTTTCCCGGCTGGAAGCACGTGTGCGTCTGTCAGGGTGGCAGCAGCAGCCTCCACAGGTGCTTCCCAGTTCAGCTTCTTAGCTGAACCTTTTCTCAAGCTTTACTTTCTGTCCTTTGTGAGTTTGGTTTTTTGTTTTCCAAAGTACCTATGTTGTAAATAGGTTTTTTCCCAACTACATCCTCTGTGCTATTGTAATTTATAATAAGAAATATATGGTCTTTGTCCCTATTCCTTCCACAAAGTTCCTAAAATCCTTGGAGTTTCCTAAGTCATAAGAGTGATAAAGGTGTCTTGTTGACATTAATGATGTGACTTTTGTCAGGGCCTAAGGATGGGGCTGGTTGCCAAGGAAAACAACCTTTCAGTCCCACCCTGGGACCTTAGGGGCAGCGTTGCTGGAGGTTGAGTTGATCACCAGAGACTGATGATTCGATCACGCCTACGCGCTGAGGCTTTGTGAAACCGGAAGGACGGGTGCGGAGAGCAGGCAGGACTGGTGAGCATGCGGAGATGGGGTAACATGGAAGTGTGCGCCCCTTTCCCGAGCCTTTGCCCTGTGTGTGTCTCCCACGTGGCTGTCCCTGAGTTACATGTTTTCTGTAGTAAACTGGCGCTCTAGTAAGTAAGATTCCTCTGAGTTCTGTGAGCCACTCAGACACATTCACTGAACCTAAGGAGGGGTCATTGGCACCTCCATCTGCACCTGGTTGGTGAGCACGGGTGGCAGCCTGGACCTGGGATCAGTCTGCAGTCAGAGGTGGGGGCAGGGCGGGTGGTGTGCCTTGTGGACCAAGTCCTTAACCTGTGGGCTCAGCCTCTCTCCAGTAGATAGTGTCAGAATTGCATTACACTGTGGACGTTCAGCTGGTGTCAGGAATTCTTGGGGGTGGGGGGTACAGCATGGCGAAAACATCAGAATTAGTGGCACAATCTTATCCCCACTTGCTGATTTAAAGTGTAAGTGCATTCCTAGGACACTAATCCCACACGATTTAACACAAAAAGGGTCCCGCCACCAGTCCTGTCTACTAGGGCTGTGTCGGGTACACGGTGCGTTTACGTATCCAACCTGAGGAGCCTCTGAAGTGCTGGTGCGCGTCCAACGCCCAGCTCGGCCGTGCAGCCCTTTCCTCGACCCCTGTTACCTAGAGAGCATGGTTGCCATGGTCTGTACCTGGCGTTTTATATGTGTGCTAGAAGCACCAATAAAAGGTATTTGTGCCCTGGCCAGTTCGGCTCAGCAGTTAGAGCGTCGGCCCGAGGACCAAGGGGTCGAGGCTTCAATTCCCCGTCGAGGGCACGCCCTGGTCAGGGTGCGTACAGGAGGCAACCAGTTGATGCGTCTCTCTCACACTGATGTTTCTCTCTCTCCACCCTGCCCCCACACAATCTCTAAAAATCAATGGAAAATTAAATCCTTGGGTGAGGATTAACAACAAAGGTATTTGTGTCGGACAAGGACATAGGCTGTGCCCCCCATGAGCAGGAGGCCCGGGCTGTCTGGACACACAACACCGTGAAACTGAATTCATAGCACGTTGACACTTCAGAACAGGGAGTTAGACACTATACATCCTTTTTTCTGTTGTCCTTGATCCATAAATCCATTTTGTTTGTGAATGTGTGTATAGCTGTTGATGCTGGAGGGACTGTAGTCAGCTGAGTCTTCTACACTGATCCAGGCCAGAGGGGAGCAAGCCATCTGACCAGGACTGAACGCACAGTGCAGACGTCTGTCACGGAGTGTCGGCCTGCACTGGATCCCGTCGGTGGTTCTGTAGGTGGACCCGTGGGTCAGGGTGTGTAGTGGGGGCAGCCACTCTGGGCTTGCTTTCTGTCTCCGAGCTGCCGTGCTAGTGCCTGGAGGTCAGGACACGGATGACGAGCCCCGCTGTCAGTGTGGCGGACGCCACCCCCAGAGCAGCGCCTCGGCGGATGGCCAGCTGTCTCCCCGAGAGTCTGCTGGAAGGAGCAGAAAGGGTTGCCTCTGGAGTCCTGAAGAGGTCCAAATGGCACTCGGGCCTTGAGTACGTTGTCAGGGTGACACCAGGGGAGCTGCCCGTAGCCACTGCAGAGACAAACAGGAGCAAGTTCAGCAGTACTGGGGGCAGGGTGAAGAGCTGGTGAAGCTAAGGTTAGGCCCTGGCTGTGTTGGCTCGGTGGGAGAACTGCTTAACCTCTGCCCCTGCCGTCAGACAAGCCTGTGCACCGAACGCTGCCTGCCCTTCTGCTCTGCAGCCGGTCGCGGGACAGGGTTCTGTGGGGAGCCTCACACACGGAGTTTGATGTGCAGATGAAGTCACTATGAAGAAGTCGGCCGAGGCATGTCCCTGTCTGAGCCTCCCCTTGTCAGCACACGTGACACATCGAATGCCCAGGTGACCATGCTGTGCCTGTGTGGCAGTCAGCTCCCGGAGTTTCAGCTGTTCACTGTTGCACAGATCAAGGCACCCAGGCTGAGGTGCAGTCGCTGCGACAACAGGGCTTTGGGCAGCACAAGCCTGGGGCAGGTGGCCCCGGTGCCTGGAGCAGGGCCATCACTTACCACATGGACACTGGATACAGACCGCAGGTGCCTGTCTGTCTGATGCAGTGCAGGGAGGTGGACAAGGGAAGTGTCCCCAACTCGTCAGTCAAGCCAGGCCCACCTGCCCGGGCCGACAGCTGTGGGCCAGGACGGGGCCTTCTGCCCCCAGCTGGAGTTAGTGGCGAGAGCATACTGGTCTGGTACAGCCACGCTTGGGTCTTCTCTCTCGCCTTTGCCAGCTGAGGGACAGTGAGGAAGGGACCTAAGCGCCCCACCTTGCTTCCTCATCTGAGAAAGGGACAATGGCCTGCTGCCTCATGAGGCTGAGGACATGGAGTCCGTCCGTCTGTCATGCTGGGGCCTGGGGCGTCATCCTCACGGTGAGAGGACTGGGCTTGGTTCCCAGGCACCTGAGGCAGGGCAGCCAGGAGCAGGGTGCCCCTGGCATTTGCGTGAGCTGAAGCAGCCTGACAGCATTACCTGAAGAGGCAACAGCTTTCTCAGGCCCAGGTCTGGGGGCTGTGCCCACGGGGCACTCGGTGCTCTGCGGTGCCAGCCCCGCACACTTCTCAGCCTGCAGGAGAGAGTGTGCCTGCGTCACCTGCCAGCCCCGTCACCGCCGGCCCAGGAGCTGGACCCCACTGGAGGCTCCTCACTCCCTCCCCTATGCTTGGACTGTGCTCCGCCTGCCTCCCCTGCTCTAGCAGCTGCCCCAGGACGCAGCCCTGCGAGAGCCTTGTGGCGATGCTGTGACCGGTGGGTGTGTGACGGACCCCAGGCCCGGCCTCTGTGAAACATTGAAGAGTCTGCAGGTGGGTGCAGAGGTCTACTTGTCCAGCTGCCACTTCAAACAAGCCTCATGTGCCTTGCTTGTTAAACCTGCCACCTAGCACTCCCTTTGTTTGCTCCCTGCCCTCTGCCTGCCTGCCAGGGGTGGTTTCAGACTACACCCAGAAGCTCCTGATGGGAGGCTGTGTCGCAACAGGCCTCATGCGTGGCCTGCTTCAACAAGGCAGCCGGAGCACGCAGACGCACGGGCTCAGCTGGCAGGGCAGGCTTCTCAGTGCTGCAGCTTTACGTCTGCGAACCATTGTCACACGCCAAGGGGACTTGCTCCCCACATGAGGGCAAAATCGTTTCCTGCCAGAACTGGGGTCTTAGCAGAACACACCCTCTGTCCCCTGCCTTCGAGCTGGGCTGTGCCTGAGAAGCAAACACTGGCCTTTCCAGGAGGGAGGTGGACAGAGTGATTTATTACCTCTTCCAAAGTCATGCACACTCGGGACATGCGGGTTCAAACTAGTTGGAGTGAGCTCTTTGCCCTTGGCGTTCAGCAGCCGGGCTGGCTAAGCAAGGGTCTGGTGTGTGTTTCTGTGATCGGAGAGTGTGTGGCCTGTCCTGGCACTGCGTGGGCTCCGAGCACAATGGCAGGAGCGGGTGTTGAGTCTGAGCCAGCTCCCCTGCGACCACACATCGCTGCCGCTGAGGCCTAGTGTGCCCTGGCATTTCCGGGGAGCAGTCTCCACCTGGTTGGCAGGTGAGAGCGTCACAAGGCCAGGGCTGTGGGCTCACCTCCTCTGCAGCCAGCTCCCAGTTCATCCGGGCAGTGTAGGCTGCAAAGGCCACCGCTGCCAGCAGGGCACAGGCCAGCATGCCCAGCCAGAGGCCTGCAGGAGACAGGTGGCAGTGGGGGGGTGTCCAATGACCCCCAGGCCTCTCCTGACTTCCCCTCATTGCACATACCCACGATTCTCATCCTGACCACAAAGGCCAGAACAATGCCCAGTGGGAGGCCAATGACGTAGTACATGATCGCATTGACTGTGGCTCCGAAGGCTTGCCTGCCCGTCCCTCTCAGGACTCCACCGTAGACACACTGTGAGGAGAGGGGGCGGCAGGAGGTTAGTCAGGACGTGAGGCGGTCTCACCGACGGCACTGCTCCGCACTCCCTGTAGCAGGCCTCCCCGAGCTCCTACAGCCTGAGGCGGTGCTCTCAGCCACTCTCCCGTGAGAACAGAGCCAGAGATCGGGCCGCTTGCCCAGTGGGACCCAAAGTAGCTGTGTTTTGAGCACGACTGCAGAGCCGCAGCCTTCACCTCCACACCGTTATCCCCGCCCTGGAAAGTGCAGGTGGGATTGGTCGCCCACCAGCAGCTGCTCTGGGAGGGCGGACTACCTTCATTCAGAGGCGGGGTGGGTTTCCCAGTATCGCTGGAGCAAATCACCGCAAACTTAGTGGCTTCAAACAAGACACTTTCAGTGTTTTATAGTACTGGAGATTAGAAGTCCTAATGGGTCTCACTGTGCCAAAGTCAAGGCTGGTTCCTTCCAGGGGCCCCAGGGAGAGCCATGCCCACCTTTTCCTGCCCCTGGAGGCAGCTGCCCCCGAGCTCTCAGCCCCAGGCCACAGCGGCATCGCTCCGACCTCTGCTTCGGTCACCAAGACTCCTCGGTCTCTGCTTCTCTCACACACAGGAGGACCCTGTGATGACACTGGGCTTTCTGGGCAATCCAGGAGCATCTCCCTGTCTCAAGACCCTGAATGACACCCGTAGGTCCCAGGATTAGAGCGTGGCATCTTCGGGGGCCCTCATTCTGCCTACCACACGTGGCGAGTGTTCCCTATGAAGAATGGACTCTGCTTTACTTTGCTAGTCTCATCCTCCCAAACTGATCCCAGACCTAATGAACGAGGGAACCACAGGCGCAGCTAAATGTGGATATCAGTGGATATTTAGTTATTTTTATTTTGTTAAGATGAGGGATGTGGAGTGTGGTTTGTTTTTACACAGTTGAGCAAAGAGGTAATGCATAGGGACAAGAGGTGACTGACTCTTGAACTTTGAAACTTGGTGCACACATTTCTCGTCTATCATGAAATAGAAGATAATATTTTTGGTTAAAAAACAAAAATTCCTTCAAAATTATGCTTGATGTGCTCTGGACCAGTATTTCTCAACCTGGGGGCAGTGTTGCCCTCCTGGAGGTATTTCGCGGTGGCTTTGACTGTCACAGCTGGGAGGTGGACCTGGGCCCCAGGGGGTTGAGGCCAGGGGTGCTACTGAACTTCCTACAACGCACGGGGCAGCCCTCCTGCAACAAGGACCTACCCTGCCCAGCCGTCAGCAGTGCCATGGTGAGGGCCCTTAGAGCGTGGTGAACCCCCATGGCAAGGTCAGGGGCAGTTCCACAGCAAGGGCCTGACTTGTGGGCCTGTTTGGAAGAAGCGATGGACCAGTGGACTGACAGAGACTCAATAAAGAGCTGCATGAGGCGAAACAGCCGGGGGAGTAGGGGAGAGCTTGGTAAGTTCCCCAAATATCCCGCGTTGGCTGGAGGCTGTGCATATTTGTAGCAGAGAGTGGAGCAGACCCGGGCCACCCACACATCCTGGACAGTGGAACCTATGAATGGACAGAAGAGACACAAGAGGACCCAGAAGGAAGTAAAAGCTGGGCAGACTTGAAAACGGCCTGGATGCACCCCCAGCGCACACTCAGGTCCTCAGCAGAAAATGGAAGCTTTACCAATGGTCAGAGGCATCTGAACACAACCTCCAATCAGTAATTGGCTGAACACTGAGCTATGCAGACACAGTAGTGACCCCTAGGAAGCTAGGCTTAAAAATAAACAAGAAACACACATACGCGTATCCGTGCACATACGCCCGCGCACACAACTAAGCAGAGAGAGCAGCTGCAGGGTGTGGAGGCAGGATCCACAGAAGTGTCCAGGCGAGTTACTAAACAAAACAACAGCGCTTGGGGACAGGCCACATGCTCTTCTCCAGGATGGACCTATGCTAGGCCACAGAACATTTAAAAATATTGAATTCATACAAAGTATGTTCTCTGACCACCACAGAATTAAATTAGACATGCCTAACAGAAAATGTCTGAGAACAACCCAAATAGTTGGAGATTAAACAACACACTTCTAAACTCATGGGTCAAAGAATAACTCACAAGAGAAAATTTAAAATATCTTAAACTGAATGAAAAGAAAACAACATATCAAAATGTATTAGATGTAGCCAAAGCGGTAAGTACTAAGGGGGAAACATATAGTTTTCAATGCCTAGATCAGAAAAGAAGAAAGGTCTCCAATCAATAGCCTAATATTCCACCTGAAGAAACTAATAAAGAGGAGCAAACTGTACCGAAATAAAGGATGGGAATAATGATGAGAGTGAAAACCATGGAAATAGACAAGAGAAAAATAACAGAGAAAATCATTGAAACCAAAAATTCTAGTTCTTTGATAAGGTCCACAAAACTGACAAACACTACCAGGGAGCTGGCTTTGGTGAACGTGGCCCAGGAGACAGGCAGGCGGAGGCACGCGTGGCCAACATCAAGGACGAGGGCAGGGACATCACTACCGACGACAGAGAAAAGGACTATTCGGCAGTATGAGCAATGCCAGGCCTCAGTATTAGACACCTCAGTCGGAGGGAATACATTCCTAGAAAGACACAGCTTACTCAAACTAACTCAACAAGAAGTAGAAGGTGACTAGACCTGTAACAAGTATGTAAATTGAATTAATTTAAAATCTTCTGACCAAAGCTCAGGCCCAGATGGCATCATTGGTGAATTCTATAAAATATTTAAAGAAGAAATAATGCCAATCCTTCACAAACTCAATGTTACCCTGATACCAAAGCCAGATCAAGATATTACAAGGAAAACATAAGAATTACAGATGAGCCTTGGCCAGGAGGCTCAGTTGGTGGGAGCATCATCCCATACACCGAAAGTTTCCAGATTCGATTCCTGGCACGTTCCTAGGTTGTGGGTTTGATCCCCAGTCAGGGCGCATAAGAGAAGCAACTGATCGATGTTTCTCTCTCACATCAGTGTTTCTTTGTCGCTCCGCTTCCACTCTCTCTTAAAAAAAAGTCAGTAAAAACTTATCCTCGGGTGAGGATTATAAATAAATGAATAAATATTTTAAAATTACAGATGAGCTTTGGCCGGTTTGGCTCAGCTGTTAGAGCGGTCCGGAGAGACCCGGGTTCGGTTCCCGCTAAGGGCATGTATTTCGGTTGCAGTTTGTCCCCGGCCCTGGTTGGGTCGTGTGGGTGGCAGCCACTCGATGTGTCCCTTTCACGTCGGTGTTTCTCTCTCTCTCTCTGTTCCTCTCTCTCCCTCCCACTCTATGTGAACAAAAAATTAAAAAATGTCCTCGCCCTGGCCGGTTTGGCTCAGTGGTTGGAGCGTCGGCCTGCGGTACAGAGAGACCCGGGTTCGGTTCCCGCTAAGGGCACATACCTCAGTTGCAGTTTGTCCCCGGCCCTGGTTGGTCGTGCGGGTGGCAGCCACTCAATGTGTCCCTTCACATCAATGTTTCTCTCTCTCTCTCTTCCTCTCTCTCCCTCCCACTCTATCTGAACAAAAAAAATAAATAAATAAATAAAATAAAAAATGTCCTCGGGTGAGGATAAAAAAAAAATATTACAGATGAGGGGGGAGGGGGGAGGGAAGAGATAAACCACAGAACTTATATGCATGTACGCATAACCAAAGGACATGGACAACAAAGCTGGGGAAGGGGCGGGGGGGATGGAGAGGAGGGTGTCAATGGGGTAAAAAAGGAGAAACATCTGTAACAAAAATAAAATTAAAAATAAATAAATAAATTAGAACTAAAAAAAAATTACAGATGTATATCCCTCATGAATGTCGATGCAACATTTTAAACAAAATATTAGCAAACCAAATTCAGCGATATATATAAAATATATACACCACGATCTGGAGGACTTTATCATAGAAATGCAAGGTATATCATCTGAAACTCAGTTAATGTTATTATACCATATTAATAGAATAAAGGACAAGAACCACATGATTATCCCAACAGGTGCAAAAAAACATTCTTCAAATCCGTGAGAAAATGTTTCAGCACAGTAGGAGTAAACAGCTCATCCTTAACCTGATATGGGGTGTTTATAAAAACCCTACAGACAACATATTTGATGCTGAAAGACTGAATACTTTTCTCCTAACACTGAGCACAAGGCATATGATGAAAGATCGGCCACTTCCATTCAATATCGTACCGGGGTTCTACCCAAATAAAAAGGAAAAAGTGAAACTCTTTATTCATAGATCACATGATCCTATATGTAGCAAATCTTCAGGAATCCACACACAAAAAACTACTAGATTGAATTTAACCAGGTCACAGAATAAAAGGTCAATAAACAAAGATCAATTATATTTCTATAAACTAACAATGGAAATTAAGGAAAAAGTACCATTCACAATAGCATCAAAAAGAACAAAATATATTGGAATAAATTTAACAAAAATACTGCAAGATCTGTCCATTGACAAATAGGCTACAAAATATTGTAAATTAAAGAAGATCTAAATAATTGGAGAGACATTCCATATCCATGGAATATTAAGATGATAGCTTTTCCCAAATTGCTCTATAAATTCAATATAATTCTTTTCAAAATCCCAGTAGTAGAAATTAAAAGCTGAAAAATACATATAGAAATGTAAAAGATCTAGTACAGCCAAAGCAATTTTGAAAAAAAAAAAAAAAAGAACGAAGTTGGAAAATTCATAGCAACTGATTCAGTTGATGCTAAGAGACGGTCATAGGACAGTGTAGCACTCACTGGCAGAGGGGAGGGCGTATAAATCAATGCGAATCTAAAAATAAACCAGTACATTTATGACCAATTGATTTCTGACAAAGGTGCCAAGAAAATTCACTGGGGAGAGCATTTCACATGCCAACAAATGGTACTAGGACTATTGGGCATCCATATGCAAAAAGATAAATTTAGATCCTAATCTCATACCACATACAAAATAAACTCTAAATAAATCATAAACCTAAGTGTAAGAGCTAAAATT